CTATGAAATCGATTCCTTTTGGCCCAATAGTTCTGACAGAATGTCCCTTGACATCCTCATATCTAACACACTGTATTAGCCATGATGACTCACAGGTCATTAGAGTGCTGGAGCGCAAGGCAAGAGTCTAGTAGCCAGGTGGGATTGAGGATACTATGAGTATATCCTTTTATTGTACCAAAGAGATGGTTGATGAGTTATGGAAAGGAGGTTCTTCTTTAAAGCAAACATTACCTTTTGTTAGTGTTTTTGCATATAAGCCAATTCAGTGATCCTTTCACATATTTTAGTCACAAGAAATAATATATCCATTTGCAGACACTTTAATACATGACCATATTTCTTTGTAGGAATTTGAACTTTCATTAACATGCTTATTCCGTGCTAAGAAAATTTAATTTCTAATAGGTTGTGACTGTATCCTGCGCATTAATGGCATTTTAAATCTACTTATTAAATAAGCCACAAAAATGGTCACCAATACTAAACAAATTCATTTTGCAGATTCATACATTTGCCTTAGCTACAGTCAAACAACAACCAACGTTACATATGCATTTGATGATGTGAAAATTAAAGAAACTGTAATACCAATACCCGATTAGTAGTACACACTTGATTATCTAATTACCAAATAAAGATGATGCTACATCTTTTTTTTTTAGACTGTGGTTGTAATCCATTTGGATCCTTGCCATCCTCAGTGTGTGATGCTGTTACTGGACAGTGCCAATGTCAGAATCTTGCCACAGGCCAATACTGTGATGAGTGCATTGTGAGTATAAACTGTATTCCTTTTAATATTCTGCCCTATATATGTACATAACTTGGCATAACAGGATCCCAATGCAGAAGCGACACACTCGGAAGACTCACAGCATAATGTCCAGATCATGCTAAGCCTCCTGGTTACCATTATTTCATTAAATGGTATATCATATATTCTTTTCTGTGACATGTACACATCATAATCTTGTAAGGCACCCAACAGTGGCTAAAGGTGCCCGTTTCAAATCCCGCGCAAGTCAACTAATATTTAATTTAAAGTTTTTGTTTTTTTTCCTTTGCTTTTGAATTGGCATTCTCCTAACATTCCTACCAGACCTAAAGGGTCTGGTATGAATTGGGGGGAAACTCAGGCTTTTTTTTTCATCTTCTGCAGACCAAAAAAAAAAAGTCATTTTTGTTCCCCCTAATGTCATTTTGAAGCGAACGAAATTCGTTATTGGGCGAATTCTGTTGCATCAAAATGATTTTTTTTTTTTTACTTTTCGGATTTTCGGACGGGAGCGCGCGGCCAAGACGGGGTATGTTTAAACCGCTGTTAAAGCGGTTTTTTTACAACTTTTTGCATATATATACTGCTTGCTAGCCTCATATATAAGCAAAAAAGCCGGAGGGTTTGATAACCCTTTAATACTCACCTGATCCCTGGAACAACTGACAAGCACAGACTCCCGTATCTCACGCTGTCAGAATATGCATACTAAACGTGCCGGTTACTATTTAAACCGGCGCTGTGTGCAGCTTCACACGCTATTAGCGTATCGGGGAAGCCGGCTGCGCATTTTGCTCTAGCTACGCAAATAGCGTATCTTCTCAGAAGCTGCACACCGCGGTTTAAATAGTAACCGGCATGCTCTGAATGCATATTCTGACAGCATGAGAGGCGGGGCACTGCAATGGTCAGTGGATCGGATCAGGTGAGTATTAAAAAAACAATAAAACATTTAAAATGACACAGGATTTTATTTTTAAAATATCACCTTACCGTAGCCTGGTGGTCAGTGGGGCTCCCTGGACCCTGGTTGTGGGGGGTCTGTTGTGGCCGCAGCTGCTCCATCCCTCTGCCGTCTTTCTGCACATCCGACACTCCCTGCCAGTGGCGTAGTGGGGGGGGGCACCTACGGCCGCCACCGCAGCTCCCGGTCAGCCCGCCCGCATCAGACCCGGCTCTCTAATCTAGCGTCTGCCTAATCTAGCCAGCTCGAATTGCATACTGGCTGAATCAGGCAGACGTGGCCCTCTAAACTGTAGGCACTGTAGAGGGCCCCCCTTCAGGAGCGACCCCCTCGCTACGCCACTGGCACCGGCCCTCTAAACAGGCAACTGTGCTGGGCCCCCCCAGGCTGAGGCCCCGGTGAGTCCGCACCGGCTGCACCGGCGGTAGTTCCGCCACTGATTCCAACTTCACAACACTTATTTTTATAGATGACCAATTGAATTGTGGCTTTACCTGTTGACTCAATGCTTAGTCCACATCTAACACTTCAGTATGGGTAAATAACCCTTCAAATGCAATTTTTGTTTTCATTATGATAAGTATAAATATCTATTTTTGTTGCATTCTAGCCTGGTTATTGGGGGCTTGGGAACAGCCTGTATCCTTGTTCTGCATGTAACTGTGATATTGGAGGAGCACGCAGTGTTGGGTAAGTCTAACATTTAACACTTAATGAAGTTATGATGAGTTTGTATAGTTTGTTGCATATTTGCTTAGTTTAAAAGAATGTTACTGCTAATAAGATAACAATTTCTTGCTACATACATACCTGCAGCATGCTTTCTTGTGGGAATACAGATTACTTCTATGCAGTGTTACTCCATTTTGTTAATATTTCATAGTAAAATTAATTGACATTGACAATGAAAAAGCCAACAATTAGTAGCTCCTAAAGAATAACTCCGGGCAGAATAAAAAAAACCCTTGCAGTGGGGCTAAGGGTTAAGTGTCTATTTTGGTCTAGGGACTAATATAAAAATAATATACTCACCTGATCCTCTTTCCTTCCTGGCTGCTAGACTGGTCCACGCAGCCTCTATTCCCCTCTGCTCCAGTGGTCTATTGACCTGTGAGTCATCACATCTAATAGGGTGTATTATTCCACTGCCAGAGCTTATGGGGAGAGAGAGATGAGCGGCCCCTGCCACAGGATCGAGGATCGGGTGAGTATATCTTCTTTATTTGGTCTCCTAGAGAAAAGCGAGCAGTTAACCCTTGCAGTGTGGGGGTAGCCCCACTGCAAGGGTTAATTTTTATTCTGCCTGGAGTTCTTTCTAAACATCAACTGAATTTAGAAAACAAAGCCCACCTGCCCAAAGCTTCTTCATTAAAGCTTATCTGTAGCAGGCCATCACAGGTCCGAAAACTGCCTTGCTGCTTTGGTTACTTACTAAATAGGTGGCAAGAATATATATATTTTTAAACTAAGGAAGAGGATTATTCAAAGATAGCCAGGGAAGTGGGTTCATTCGGGCAGGATTTTTTTTCCTTTGTTTTATATTTCTTAATAGCTTCATTGGTTATATAAAGTCGCCACATGTTGATGTAATTTTACAGTCCATCAAAAGAATGAGAAGCAAGAAAGTGCCTTGTCAATGGACTGATCTCTTGTGAAAAGATGTAAAATTCATATTTGTATTTCTTCTTTTTATTCTTATAGATGTTCTCAGAGTACTGGTCAGTGTGACTGCCTTCCTAATATAGTGGGCATTCAGTGTAACCAGCCAGCAGATGGATATTACTTCATACGCCTTGACTATTACATCTATGAGGCAGAGAAAGCCCAGGCACTCTCTGGATCAGCAACCATAGTGAGTTACACAGTTAGTTTCTCTTTAAAACAATAGTTTGAAGGAAAATCAAGTCCAATATTATTTTATTGAAAGGTCATAATCGCCACCAGTTTCTGCAGATCTTGAATATGCTTTTTACCACTCTCATTTGAACCTCATATGATGCAGCTTTCATTCATGTTTTAGGAATGTTTTTCTTCTGGAATACTAACCTTGTCCCACACAACTTTTATCCAGAGATAATTATTTAAATTGGCTCATTCAATATACCAGGTAACTTAGTCAACGACTCCAGAACAGGCAAAATAATTTTATACCTGAATATGATATTTCAGGTATTAAAGTGACATTAAACCCTCAGATTTTTTAACATAAACCAATACTGTAATGTGTGCCTTACTGTAATCCATGGTTGTTTCCCTTCTCGTTGCTGCTCTTCCTTTTAAATCCTCATGTCTTCTCATGCTGGGCAGAACTTCCCTTTTCAGCTCAGGGCCTCTTCCTGTAGTGCTGGCTCAGGTTACAAGCCTATGGAAACGTATACACAGACACCGTGTATCCATTCCTGAGACAAGGCAGTCTGCTGCAAAACAGAAGTTCTGCAGAGCATGAGAACAGATACCGATTTAAAAGGAAGAGCAGCAAAGAGAAGGGCAACAACCATGGATTACAGTAAAGCACACATTACAGTATTGTTTTATGTTAAAAAATCTGAGGGTTTAATGTCACTTTAAGTTTGCCAGCAGGTTATTTGTACTGTGATTCCTCGTGCAGTTTGCTCCTTAGATAAGCTGTAACTTTAATCATCTATTTTTTCTCTAGACCAGCAGCAGTAGTACTTGTAACTTAAAATTTTCTACAAAATGTATTTTTATGTTTAAATATCAACGCAGTACAAAAAAATCTAATATTAGAACAAGTCAATGTTTGGGTGTACATTCTTGAAAGCAGTACATGTGAATCAGATTGATCAGTTGGTGTTGTTTTTTTCAATAAAATATAGTCAAATAGAGTGGCAGATGGACTGATACACTGTAGCTTTTCTACATTACCAAAATTGGCACCAGAATATTTTGGTCACTGTTAGCTGAAAGTGAAAAATATAGTCTTGGATGGCTGCTTTAGTGGTTCCAAACACAGCTTTTATTTCCCATGACAAAGACAAATGGCTGATTTATTAAAGGTGTTGAGAAGGTGATGTAACCCATGCATCACAGATGCATCCTGGGAAGATTACATCACACTGCATTGCTGGGGAAATCTTATCTTTAAATCTGACTAGTTCCTTTTCATTAACTCGAGTATTCAAATATGCCATGTACTCACACTGATTAAAACCAGTCTCAGAATTCACTTACCTTCATCAATAGTGTCAGACATGGTTCTATATGGACTGGAAATTATTTGACACGAGAAAGAATTGATACTGACGAGCCCTGCACCCTCACACCGTTGCTGCACTCTATTCTAAGAAAATAAGAAAATATGGGAATGCCCTTTCTTATATAAGCGATAACTGAACAATAAGTACCAAACCAAATACCATAGTTATCTTTATGTGACCTCCATTACCTTTTAGAAATCACAAAATATACGCTTCTAGCAATGGTCTGCTTAAATACTATCATTTGGATTTTCAGGTTAATCCAACACCTATGCCAAAATGCCAGGATTATTTCTTGAAACAAGGAATAGATTTTCGATTTGAGAATGACAGAATAATACTTAAATCGATGCCAAAAAGAAGTGTACGAGAACGACGACAGGCACAGGTACATGATTTATGTCTTACCCACAGCCCATAATGTATATTGGTCTCTTGCAGGATTTCTTATCCCCTCAACATGCCTTACTTCCGTGGTATTAACTATTTATGTTCAACTTGGCCTATACCTCTTTGTCATCTGGTTTGCTTTTTTAAATGTTATAAGCACTCCTCACCCTTTCTTTTCTTGCCCTTATATATTCTAAAATGTCTGAATGTTTATTGTTCTCATTCTTCATAGTTTGTTCTAACACAGTGCTTCAGAATGTTCTCAACACTTTACATTTCTGTTTATTTTATAAATGAAAATCAACTGGGTGCACACGTTTCTTTTAAATCTTAACTGAGCCATGCCCTTATCATACCTCTGTCATGAGAGATGTATTGAAAATGCTAGTATACTGTAAAAGAGTGCCAGAAAAGTGTCAAATCTACTTATGTTTGTATTTGTTTTGGGTCAGCGACCCAAACAGCATTGAAGTCAGCTAAGCACTGGAATGACAGCCAGGGAACTAGCATTCTCAATGGAGAGTTTAGCCTATATTATACATCTCATGAGTGTACCTTTAACTCAATGTAAAATCCATTGAAATAGGTCACAACATCCATAAAATATGTACTATAATACTTATGTACCAGAAGAAAGGTGGAGATGGGAAAGGTAGCAAGAAAACAGTTGATCTTTTCTTGCCAAACTTTTCATGCCACACAGCTCTTCAATGCTCTGTTGATCAACAATGCATCATACACTGCAAAGCACATCTTTATATACCCATAGTAATTAACCCTTAATAGAAAATATAATCAACAGGTCACCTCAAAACTAAAACCATACAATCCAACCATCATGCTGATGACAGGTTCAACCCCTTATTTGGTTTGAAGTTTTACAGTCCGGTAATAAAACTGATCTATAAAAGAAGTCGAGAGTCTTCACGCAATACGTTGTGTGAATATTCACTTCAGTTATCATATGAAAAGCAAATTCCTGTTCACTTTGAATACGCAATAATGTACAAATAAAATAAGTAAACAGGGCTTCTCACATGGTTGAATAACTGAAATGAATTTCAGACAATTGATTAAGTCAACTTTCTAAATTCCTTTAGTGAATCAGCCCAACTTTCTATGTTGCTTAATATATACATTTCTGTTCAAGTACATTCTGCTTATCTTCATACATTTACTGCACAATCAGCTAAACTTGTTTTGTTATTGTTGTGTCATGCTAACTAGGATCTTATTGTTGGTTTCTATGCTTCTTCCTTTCTAATCTTACTATTCCTATCAATTAATAGTATTGTAACATTACACATACATAATTTATTATGCACTCGTTGCAGCTCTTTATAAAAATTGTCGTTTATTTCGTCCCCTGTGTCTACTGTAGGAACATTTATTAATTAGTTCATTAACATTTTACACCGTTTGTGGAAGGGGGGAAGGATATTATATATTGACAATAAAATTGTCACCAAGGAACTCTAGCTCAAACATAAATGACTAAGATGTTTACCTCTATCTAGGAAATTGTTCCATTTGGTACAAAAGGTGTTGTGGAACTCGTATTAAGGCAGCCAATACCAGGCAAACCAGTGACTTGGACAGGACCTGGATTTGCACGTGTTCTACATGGTGCTGGACTGAGATTTACTGTCAATAACATTCCATACTCCATGGATTTCATTATTGCAATCCGATATGAGCCAGAGGTAAGGTGCTCCATGTTTATGAATGTGAAAAATTACTATATTCATTCAGTTAAACCTTTTTAATACCATTATCCTGATTATACATTCTCCCCCAGAAGAGTTTTCTTGTTTTATAGACATACCAACAACTGTGGCAGACTTTAAAATTACCATCCTATGTAAATTACATCAAATCTGTACATAATCTAGGCTTAAAATCATAATAGTAAAACAACATAAAATGATGGTATGCTAAACTGTGGGATACAATAACAGAACCTTAAGTCCTTTATTTATTTATTTTATACGTATTATTATTTTGTGTATTACTGCTAATGAGTGCAGGTATACATAATGTATATACATTTCTAGGAGTTCTAGGTGCACATATCTTCTTATATGTGTAGAGTACACATCTATTTGCATGTGCACAACGTACACTACCACCTATGCAGATTTTCAAAAAGGTTTTTTTTCTTTATGACTACTCATGCACATTATACTGTCGCAAGGACAGCTATGCCCTCAATGCAACATATACACCAAATAATAAGTTGGAGATCCAGTGATTATAAGGTTGCCTGGCCATTTGAAGTGCGTTGCAATTCTCCCGCTACCATAGCTGCCACATGTGATCATGTCCCATGTCATAAGAGGTGTTTTTTTATGGTACTAAATTGAGACATCATGAGTTTAAACAGACCTGTGAAGTCTCGCCTATGTTTTGAAAATGGAGACTGGTATCTCTATCTGCCCTCTACAGGGACAGGACCTTCTCAGTACTATCATTTACAGGTTTGTGTTGGAGGAACAAGCACCAGAAGAAATGAGTGAGACTTCTTTTCTCATCCCTTTTATATATATGGCCAGCAGACCATCAGCTGCAGAATCACATTCACATTTACTGCAGGAGACTCCACGCAGAAATGAGGACAAGCTGAAGTTGAAAGCAGAAGTTGAAAAAATAAATATGATATTTCCATTCTGCTAGTAAAATAACATCTTTAAAAGTGAAAGGGTTAAGTGTAAGTGCCCAAACTAAGCAGAAAATGTTAGTCCCCAATGTTGCAAAGCTCCATCATACGCCAACCCAAAATGAATGTGCTCCCAAGACATAAGACATAATTTTCAATAATTCTATCTTGAAAATTATTAGTACCTATAGCACAAAATATTGCATAATGTCTGTTACTGTACTTCTGTTTGTATGTGTTTATATAGTCAACAGAGGACTGGACAGCAAGAATTATGGTTAACCTCCCTAATGGTGGATTAAGTGAACGCTGCAGAAACAACAAACTTCCGCCTGAAGGATATACACTTCAACTGATTGCCACTAACAGGTAAAACATAATTCAGTTTTAAAATGTATTGAAACTATGTACACCAATACAAAAATAACACAGTTGTTACAAATGAACATATTCATATGTGCAAATTAATTGCCAAGGAGTGAATCAGTCTGTTTGTCAGTCTTTTACCTGACAATCGATCTTATTGTATTCAATGAAACAGTTGATAATGTTTAATTATGTGTTTATTTTCCATTTTAGTTGTTTGAGATAACATTCATTTCTTGATTGTTTATTTAAAGGGCCACTCAACCGTTTTACTTTAATTTGACTTATAAAATTAAGGGACATTGACTCCATGTTTTACTTATAGAAGAACTCGGCATATGAAATCTTAACCCTTGCGGAAGTTCTACCCCTACACTGCAAGAATGAAGTGCTCATTTTGTCTAGGGAGCTAAAATAAGAAAGATATACTCACCTGAATCTCTGACCAACCTGCAGCCTCCCTCCTCCTCCATTCCTGTAAGTCATTAAGTCCAATACACTGTATTGAATGTGAGGATGTCAAGGCACAGTCCATCGCCAGAGCAGAGGGGAAGGCTGCAGGAACCGAACTAGCAGCCAGGTGAGTCTGATATTCAAGTGAGTATAACTTTGTTATTTTAGCTCCCAAGTCAAAATGAGCACAAAGAAGGATTCTGGGCATATGAAATATTAACCCTTGCAGTGAAGCTACCCCTGCACTGCAAGGGTTAAGATTTCATATGCCCAGACTTCTTCTTTAATAAACAATTGAAATCATTAAGGTACAATAAACTTTTTGTGGTCCACCTAGCTCTCCACTTGACATTTGCTAAAATATTAGTGTGCAGGGGCTTTCCCACATCCTAAATAAATATTGGGAAAGATTGTAATGCAAAAACCGTACACTAGATGGCAGCCTTAATCACATATCAAATCATCTCCTTAATATACCTAAGATTCGTCTAACACTGTCATTTTCTAAATATAATTGGAGTTGGAACAACTTGCAACATTTAAAGTTACAATTGGAGAAATCAAATCTGAGTAAAAAAACACATTCTAGTAATTTGTCTTATCCATGATGCACAACATACAGCTGTGTCAGGAATTTTTGCAAAATAATTATAGTATTTGTAAGAATGTCTTCTATCTTCTGTTATCCTTATCCCATGCAGGATTGCACTGCTGAATACCCCTGTGTGCCTGGACCCAGACAGAGAATACCTAATAGATGTGGATTTCTCTCAAGTATCAAATATTCCTACAAATAAGCAATATATTCTTGTTGATTCGGTAAGTGCATGCATAAAAAAAAAATACATAAGTGTTGATTGCATAGAACCATGTCAATAATATAGGTCAAATGGTTATGTCTGATAACAGTGAGCTCTGATTCCATTACAGTACTGCAGTATTCATAATATATGATTAGGTGTTAATTGCATTAGCATGTCTGTTCAGAAATCATTAGTTTCATTTTTCTTGTATGACATCCCTTGAGTGATGCTAACAGATAATACTAAAGACACATGTACTTCCTTCAGGAAGTACATGTGTGATCCAGTGACACATGTACTAAAGACACATGTACTTCCTTCAGGGCAAACTAATATGTTTGCTTTAGAGCAAGAGGGTTAACAAGCACATACAGTACTTACCTTCTATCTACTACCCACCAGTGTGTAAATACTGACTCAATAGCTTTGTTATTTCGAAAAGCCAGAATAAAAGACAAGAAATGGTGGGGAAAAAAATCAGGGTTTAATCAATTATTTTTGACATAAACATTTTTAATGGTCCACATAAGTGGGGGTATGGCTAGGTGGTGACCATTACCTAAATACATTGGGGGAATTTATCAAAACCGGATTAGACAGAATCTGAAGCAATTACCCATACTACCCAGTCAACTTCTCTCTTCAGTTTGTTCAGTTAAGCATTGAATGATAGGCAGAAGCTGTGCCATGGGCAAATGCTCCAGATTCTGTCCGCTCATTGTGCTGGAAAGTGACCCTCTTTCTCATCTCAGAAATATGGAAGGTGTGCTTTAATGAGTGTCTCACATGCATACACAGATACAAGCTAAAGGTGATGCTATGTTCACTTTGAATACCTAATTAATGTATAAAATGTGTTTAATGTTATGTTGCATATTATTGAATGATTGAAGTGAAAACAACTTCTGCTAATTACCTAAGCTAATTGAACATTTGTTTTGCCAAGTGAACCTGTTTTACTCCTTTAGTAGATCAGTCCCTTTAAGGGCCCTCCACACCTGTTGTGTTCAGACAGCCCATTGACCCTGAATGGATCCTTAAAGCCTGTTTTCAGGATAACAGTAACTAAATGATCGCTTGTTTTAGTTAAAATAAAACCCGATTTAAATGCCCATGTTACTTACCTGATGCTCCAGCATCCAGTCTATTCTCCTCTCCTCTTCCACCCTCTTCCACCAGGAGGGGTCCTTTTTTGGGTGTCTACATCCCTGCCTGTGTGATGTGGACACCTCCTATTGGCTGTCTAGTGGTGGGATCCTCTTTGGATCCAGAAGAGGAGAGAAATCAGCATTATACTCAGTTAGAAACTGCACCAGTGAGGAATCTGGATTGGGGACTTATCTTGTGGTTACAAGTGGGACCCCCAGATGAGATAACCTTGTCCCCAAGTGTAATTACTCTAATTACTCACATAAACCACCTTGCAGCAGTAAGCAGATCCTGAGTTCATTCATGTATTTTAAGTATTTATTGTAGAACGTTGAATTGAAGAGGTAGAGAGATATAGCTAGAATACCCAGAAATACTGGTTGTTGATAATAGCACTTCTTACAAGGCGTACAGTCCCTGGTGGAAAGTCCATCCTCTCCCTCTCTATAGGCCAGAAGTGTCTCCATTCCCACAGAGGTTCCAGTGTATGCTCTGTAAAAAAAAAGAAAGCCTTCTGTATAAACTACACACAAGTCAGGTCTTGTACACATTCCTTATGCTTTTGTCTTCTGTGTATGAATGATATCAGCAAAGAGTAATTAAACAAGGGTAGAATGTAGGTCATGCATAACTGTGACCTGCTGAGAGCAGGAATTGTTTATTGTATGGTGTAATGTGTACGAAATGGTGACCACGATTCCCTTTTCATCTAAATCTAATTTAATATGTTCTAGACTTTAGTGCTACAAGATGCCTAACATTGGAATGTCCTAAAGTTTGCATATGATATTTTTCTTAATTAAGGATTTATATTGTATTTGACTTCCATTGTACAATAATTATAATAATATTGTATTTGACTGCTTTACGTCTTCCATAATGAGAATCTTGCATCGTACATATTTCTCTGCATTACATGTCTTTTATTAAATGAAAAACTTAATCTGATATTTTATCTTCTTTAAAGCTTGGACTGATTCCCCAGATTTCATCTCTAAGCAATCTCTGTACTGAAGAGCAATTAGAAGAATATGATTATTATAACTGCATTGAAATTGCTTCTGACATTGGAACAGAAATTCTGCCAGATGTCTGTGAGAAGCTTATTGTTAGCATGTCTGCACGTATACATAATGGTGCTGTTAGTAAGTATAACATTGTATTATGTTTTTTTGCTGTTAAGACAATTTGCTTGAAAATAAAAGTGCAACTATGGTGCAACACATTAAAAATCACATATTTTATGCAGTCTGTCTCTAGCATTAACAAAGAAGTTTTAGATTCTTTGAATTCCCGTGTAACATAGCTTGATGTTACCTGTCAATATCCAGCCAGTAGATTACCTATGTACAGAGGAGATTTAGAAAAACAAAAACTGCTTGTTAGAGGCAGAATGCACTATATGTGTACTTTTTAATTTTCTCCATAGTTACACTTCAATTACAAATCACTTTAAAATGGGTTATATTTTCATTGGTGTAATACATTACATAAATGACATACATCATTGGTATAATACATTACTATTCCATTGGCACACTGGCAGAGTCTGACACAATGCCAATGTGCAAAATTGTTGCAGCGCTGAGATTAAGGGTGCAGTGGCACACAGGGAAAGTCTGATACAGCACGGAGGTGCAGTGGTGATTCAGGGTATGATGGCTCACAGGTTCAGGATTCACGCGAAGGTACAGGGTCACTAGTACACAAAGAAGGTAGTACATTGCACAGCGATTCAGGATTCACAGGAAGATATAGGGGTTGATTTACTAACCTTATAAACACACCACGAACATGTATACACCTCTGTAGTGTGTTCCCTTCCAGCATGATCTATGGGTGGAATCTAAAAACCTTTGTAGTGTGTACACACCCAGCAGGTGTGTTGTGCAAAGCCAAGCATGAATTGCAAGGTGATATTGTGTAAATTAGCTCTACGTTGTGTTGCTTGCGTTGATGAATGCAGGAATGTAAATGCATGAGCTAACCATTTTTGTCTAAACTGTGAAGCAGCATTATATATGCATCATGTGCATGATTTTTCCATATATGGCATTAGTGGAAATATGCTTTTAGAGACTTTTTGGTTGATAAATACGTTTTGCTGTGTCAAAATCACACGCACCTGGTGCGTGCGTGTGTTTAGGTTAGTAAATCACCCCCATAGGGTCACTGGTACACAAAGGAAGGAGTGAGTTACAAAATAGTCCAGGATTCACACAAAGATACAGTGTCACTAATACACAAAAGATAGAGTGCGTTGCACAGTGGTTCAAAATACATAGGCTCTGCATGCTGAGGCACCGAGGAAGCAGGTAGGTAGGGGAATGCAGACACACAGAAGGTGGAGAGCAAGAACAATCAAGCAGAGCACAAGGTGCAAACAGCTCAGATCCACTCACAGCTTACTGGAGAATGCAATGGCAGGTCTCCGGTGATATCCACTGGATCACACTAGAAACACAGAGCATACAAGAAACACTGGAGACAGGAATACAGGGAAGACAGGAATTCAGGTAAATCCTAAGGAGTACTTAGAAAGCACAGGGATACTCGGAAGCACAAAGAGTTATCAAGGAACATGGGTTAGTCAACTGATTAATTGCTCGAACCCCAAGCAACGGGTGAACTGGCTCTATTAGGGAGGCGACCGAGAGTAGATTGATTGCAGGCCTGTGACCTGCAATAGGCTGGAAGCCAAACACCTAAAACAGTGGGAAGATCACAGAAACATGGCAAAAATCTGTCATGGAAACATGGCACAGGAAAATGTGACAGGTATCTGTTTTCTGAAAACGAATCAATATGAAGTCCATGGCATAACAGCTTGCCGGCAGTAAATAGTGATAATCACTAGTAATGCAATGTTCAACTGTGTGTAGTCACAGTTCATGTGCTGTAACCTCTGAATGTAGGCAATTAAGAAAAAATTATGTTAAGAATGGCTTGTTGGAGGATCATCAAGAACAAGTCTATTGAAAAAAAAAGGTTAAAAGTAGGGATGTCCTGATACCAACACAAGTATCTGTATTGGGGCCGATACAGGGCATTTTCACGAGTACTCACACACACACAACTTGCTGAAGCAGGGGCAAGGGTAATAGTGCCACAAGCAGCACACTGCACCAAAAGGCAAGAGGCATTTAACATATGAGTTTAATAGCAGTTCATATTCTGTCCCACAATAAAATATGGAGCCAACAGTGACAATTGGTGACAGTTGGTGGCATCACTAGAAGTAAAAAATTGCCCCTGCATCAGTGGTGCCACTGGAAGAAAAAAATTACCCTGTGTTGGTGGTGTCACTAGAAGGAAAACATACCCCTGCCTCAATCGTGTCACTGGAAGGAAAAAATACACATATATGATATATGTATATACTATATACATATATCAAGCTTTGGATCAAGATCCGTAACTGATACCTGCATAAACCTACTTATCAGAAAATTGTAGTTACGGTTTATATCAAGCCCACAAAATAATTCTCTGGAAACTGGTATTCCATCATTCCTGCTTGTGAAAAGAACCTTTTAACATTCCTTTAAAACAGTGCATTCCAACTTGTTGACCTCAAAGACAGACATTCTCAAGCATACTATGTTTTGAACAGTACAGACTAGATTAAAAGGAGGAATTACCTTTGGTAAAATAAAATGGAAGCAAGATGTTGGGTGGTACAAAAATCAAAGCCTTTAAAAAACTTTCAAAAAGTTTTATTCTATACAGTTTGCGGCATATTTCACCGTAGGTAAATTATGGTACATTTATTACCTAATAAGTGTGATATGATAGACAGCGACATGTGAGCACGGTCACGGAAGCCTCCGTGCCCTAGGCAATTGGAGGCCACTGAAGGCATGCCTCCTCCCTACCGACTATAGGCCTTGGCCTAGAGTGGTTCTTTTTTCGGAAGGTGAGTACAGGGGGGCTGTTGGGACTACTTCTTCCCCCTGGTAGGAAGTGCCATGTTTCCCCAATTGTAGTATAACGAAATGTACAGCGCTAAATGTCCTTCAGGAAGTTCAATACAAATTGCAATTAAGGATCAAAGTGATGTTACCTCCGTGTCAAACAAATCATGAAAGAGTGTGTGTATATCATAAATGTGTAACAAACTATAAATTGTCAACCGTGATAATAAAACGTGTTATAAATTAGCTCATTATTTAAATAAATAAATTCTGCAAACAACATGTGTCATATATGTAAAAAATGAAAAATGAAAATAAAATGTTATCTCATTATAAGCTAGTCCGTGTTGTTTTCTTCCGAAAACTATTAAAAAAATGCAAACTTATATCAATTTTTTGAGAAATGTATTTAACGTTTTTTTTTACTTTCTCAGAGTTCTCGGATCTTCAGCACAAGAAACCACAAAAATGATGAAAATAAAAAATAAAGATAAAAACACTCGTAAAAAATATATATTAAAAAGCCAAGGAAATGTTCAGTGTTGTGAAGTCTCCAACGAAACAAACCAAAAGGAGGAAAAAGCAGGCAGATCCCCTATAAGAGATACACTCACCAGATCCCTGATGATCGAAAGCCTATATTCTTATCCCGTGGCGGTCAAAGATATATTCCCTCGTTTAGTAGAAGCCTCAGGTTCCAGACCTGCTTGCTGTTCCGAGATGAAGGACTTTTGGTCTTTTCTATTTGATCTCTCCTGTCCCTGCAGAACTTGCTGTTGGTATCTTGGTGTCCTTTCTGAAGCAGGTCTGGAACCTGAGGCTTCTACTAAACGAGGGAATATATCTTTGACCGCCACGGGATAAGAATATAGGCTTTCGATCATCAGGGATCTGGTGAGTGTATCTCTTATAGGGGATCTGCCTGCTTTTTCCTCCTTTTGGTTTGTTTCGTGGGAGACTTCACAACACTGAACATTTCCTTGGCTTTTTAATATATATTTTTTACGAGTGTTTTTATCTTTATTTTTCATCATTTTTGGGGTTTCTTGTGCTGAAGACCTGAGAACTCTGAGAAAGTCAAAAAAACTTGAAATACATTTCTCAAAAAATTGATATAAGTTTGCATTTTTTTAATAGTTTTCGGAAGAAAACAACATGGACTAGCTTATAATGAGATAACATTTTATTTTCATTTTTCATTTTTTACATATATGACACATGTTGTTTGCAGAATTTATTTATTTAAATAATGAGCTAATTTATAACACGTTTTATTATCACGGTTGACAATTTATGATTTGTTACACATTTATGATATACACACACCCTTTCATGATTTGTTTGACACGGAGGTAACATCACTTTGATCCTCAATTGCAATTTGTATTGAACTTCCTGAAAGACATTTAGCGCTGTACATTTCGTTATACTACTATTCTGGAGGCTTTTAGCCTGAGTTCAGCAGCTTTTCTCCTTGTGTTCTTAGGAATGTTTTATGGTATTTTAATCTTATGGTCATATTAATATTAATACATATTTTAAGTTGTTACCCACTTTATTAATCCCATTAGCGCAAGTTATTTTAGATTACAACTATAATGTTTCCCCAATTACTAGAAACTTTGTAGACTATGGAGCTTGTTATAGAAGGCCATCTTAGGAGCCAGAATCCATGTTTGGCAAATCCTATTACCCCGATCTGAACTGACCTTGACAATATGGAATGCAGCAGAACACAATTGAGTTTAACTCTGGACCTGAACTCCTATTTACATTGTTAAAGTCTGTTTGTCCGTTTATGTAATTGTGTTAATAATGGGATTAACTTAACTCTGACACTAGGTATAGCTGAGTAAATTAACATATGATAGACTCTCAGAAAATAGTTAATCTCATCATAATTGTTTTCTCTCTCCCTATTCTTTGATTATGGCACTGGGGAGGGGATGGTTGCTTGCATTGTGTTAATGTTTGATTGCATTATGTTTTTAGACCACCAGAACTGTATACATACTGAGCTGGTTTTCAATAAAGTTAGTTCTTCTCTATTCTAAACTATGTCTCGACTGGTTCCCGGGTAGAACTGCACAACCCTGCAATAAGTCTTGGGCTGAGAGCTGGGTGTAAAGGCGATAATGACTGTGTTTGGGAACTGATGTAAGACTTTGGATTGGGTTGATAGCAAGAGGAAGCTGTGACCTTTAGCCGTGGTACCCTGCGGGGGTACCAGGCGGTCCATCACAAGCACTTACTCCTAAACTGCAGATGGAGCTTATGAAAAAGGACTAGGTGTTGGGCCATGTTTCCAAGATCTGACTGATGGGGGGACCTTAGAACCTTCAAGAATGCAGCTTCAATGTGAAATGGCACTGTAGGTTTTCTTGCCAATCAAACCTGTGTTAATTTTGAACACGTCTGGTTAGCATAGGTGTTTGAAGTGTACGTAAACCTAAAATATTTTTTTCTGCATGTCTGGCATAGTGCCAGTATTTTCCAGTAACATAACTTCCTGTTTCAGGCTGACAATACTTAACCTCTGCTTTACAATTCACAGCAGGGTTGGCAGTCTACTGTGTGCACTCCTTTACTTGGCAATTGGAATGCCTATCAGGCCTGCAAATGCCTCCTGCAGAGCTGATAGGCAGCCCAATGACCAAATGAATGAGTGCTCAAGGCAGGCAGTGGTGTCACAAGTGGATGCGGGGGGTGCGTCCCGCACCCGGGTGACACCATTGGAGGGGTGGCATGAAAATGACTGACAATCGTTTTGGTGTCACCCCCTATGAAAAGTCGGGCACTCGGTCACGGACCGAGAGCTTGACAGTGTCAGGAGAGAGGAAGGACACGGCAGCATACCTCATCCTGCCGGGTAAACGTCCCCTCCTCTCTCTGACAGCGTCCATCACCAAGATGGCCGCCGACAAGAGTCAATAAGGCCACCACGCATGCGTGATTATGACGTCACGGCGGGGTGACACCTGGTCTCCGCTTTGGGTGTGTCACCCAGCCTCGGAATGCCCCTGAAGGCAGGCTGACAATGTTACTACTATTTAAAAAGCATTGTCATCCTGAAACAGGAAGTGCTGTTACTGGCAGTATCTCCAGGTAAGAAACTTTACAACAGATTCACAAAAACAATTAGCTTAAGAATACTGCATCTTAGGAGGCATGATACCAAAAAATAGATTTCTGGAATGAAACAAGTTACATAATACAGGCATGCAGGGTCTTACCAAGAACTCAATCTAACGTGTATTTGAACCCAAAGCTTTCTTTTTGTATAGAGTCCCATCAGGGAGAATTCTCTTTACGTCCTGTCCACGAGACACAATTAGGAGAACAATATAATATTTCCTCTTCAATAGTTGTTACAGGAACAGGTTTACCCATTTGACAATTTTCTCTCTCCTCCTATTCAAAAATTTGTATCAAAGACAATAGTCACAAGGACCAATAGAGAAGGTGAATCTCCCAAGTGGAAAAACTGACAGCAATAACGACCTGACGGAGGTTCTAACCCTAAACCACTCAAAAAAACAACAACACATTGCTTTGTTTACTAGATGGATTTCGTAGTTCACTGAATGCTTTAACTTGTTGCCTTGATTGACTCTTTTAAATTAAAATAACTATTGATTGTTACTGTAACTATTTTAATCATTCCAGAGTGTTCCTGTAATTCTGAAGGATCATTAAACAATCGTTGCAGCAAGATCGGAGGTCAATGTCAATGCAAGCTCAATGTTGTTGGAAGCTGTTGTGATAGGTGTGCTGTGGGCAGCTATGCATTTGGTCCCAACGGCTGTCTAGGTATGAAAATCTCATATTTTAGGGATCTAATGGGATAACTTGTCATCTCTGATTCAGGGAAAATCTAGAGTTTTATCCCCAGAAGGGACTTACTTTCATACTCTCATCACTGCAAAGGCTAAATACCAAAACTATCATAAAACTAACAAATGAATACAATAAAGATTTCTATCTACAAACAAGAGATTATAAGTCAATGTTTCAGGAGGGAATAGGCTTTACTCTTCTGAAGTAGTCAAATTTGCTGGCAAGTTCAGAGGCAAATTACAAGTCAATAAAATTTGTTTATGAAAAGGAAAAATGCTGTAAACAAGCATTTAAATTACAACATTTTTATGTGCTTTTACCAGCAGTGTTTTTAAATGGTGATAGGGTTTCTTTAAATTAAGCTACTTTTCTGTCCAGATTATGCTACCCTTAGGTTATTATTTCAAACGGTTGTCCAGTTACAGGCCATACACACTGCACACAGAAAAATCTACATGGAAACAGGTGCTTCTGTAGTAAATACATTTATGTGGTCTTTTAAGAATTAGAGGCTTACCCTGATGTTGAAGCACGCAATAAGAAATAATGTATATGTTTGTGTTTTTTGCCCTGTCTCCTAGGTTGTGATTGTCATATCAATGGTTCAATGAGCACATTGTGTGATCAGGTTACTGGTCAGTGTGCTTGCCGTAAAGACATCAAGGGTCGTCATTGTGATCATTGCCTTCCTGGATACTATGGATTTCCAAACTGTAGACCTTGCCAGTGTAATGGAAATTCAGAGTCATGTGATCCAATAACTGGGGCTTGCAAGACCTGCAAGGGATTTGCAACTGGTACCAACTGTGAGCGGTATGGAACCTAGATAATATGTATATATATATATATATAAAAATTGTATATAGTGCGTATATACTGTATATTGTGATGTTTGGGGAACTTAGCACATATGGTGAATGCTTAAGGAACAGTCTTGAAGCCGTTTTAAACATAAACAGGACAGTCTTTTATTTCTTTCATCAACATAAAATACAGTCTGCTAATGTTTCAGCAAGTAGACAATGTCTCACCGACCAAAGATTTCCACACATACTCCATGTGTAAATGGCTCTCTCAGCCTCTTCGGCTGTCTTCCCTGTGCCTCTAGCACACACAGCCACCTGGCTCCCCTCTGACTTCTGGGTGGAGTCCTCCTGACTCCTGAACACCTCTGTTCCTCTTCCCAGCTGGAGCCCAGAACATTAGCCAGCACCCTTCCCATAAGTGCTCTGCACAGGTGTGCAATTAGATGCTGGCCACTCCTAAACAATGGACCCATGAATGGAGATTTCCTCCCTCTCAATTTTCTTAGAAATATCCCAGTTTCAGGATCCCATGCCAAATCCAGAAAACCTGGAGAGAACTGCAAAGCCAGTTCTTTCCCAGCAAAATAATTTGTTTCCAGGAACTGCTCAGCCCCTCTGACTGAGAGTCCTGGATGACTACAACACCCAGTTCTACCTTGGGATTTCCACACAATACCACATAATATATATATACTGTATATATATATATTCACTGAGTGCTGTTGATTTCTGCTTACCACTAAATATGTACACATATCTGTAAGGCCTAACATTCCTGGTGGTTTCCTTTTGGCATCTCCTAGAATTTGGCCGGGAGAATAAACCAGTAAAGGGAAAAATTGGAAGACTAATTTATTCATCTTTATGAAATCTGAATCTTTGCTCTGCAGGTGTCTTGATAATTACTTTGGGAATCCATTAAAAGGACAGCCATGTCGCCCATGTATGTGTCCAGGTCCTCCTACAGGCAACCAATATTTTGCACATTCCTGTGAAGAAATCCCTAATACTCAAGATGTTACCTGCAAATGTCTAGAAGGTTACACAGGTATAAAACACATTACTTCAAATAGCTTTGGTAATTCTAATGACTGCACGGGTTAATTTGTTTACCCTTTCTGATCAATCCTCATGATAATGTATTTGTGCTAATGTATATTAAAAAAAAATAAGAATTTACAGCCAAATGTCAGTCTGATAATGTGACAGATTTACATGTGGCCAGTGTATTCAACAAGACTTCCTTATATGCAGGAATTTGTCTTAAGTAGGTGGCATGATCTTGGGTTGGAGTATGCCAGCATGAATAGGTATAGGAGTGGGAAAGTATGGAATTTTATGTTAGTGAGGGCACTAGTCCATAGCCTAGAGAGATGTTTTGCTGCTCTTTGGAAGAAGAGTAACCCTAACAGGCAGGATTTTAACTGGTGGGCTACATATGGAGTTCTGCTGTACACCTTTGCATTGTAAGTTGGTATTGAGCTGGTTACCTTGCAAGCCATAGCTGTGAGGGTCAGCACTGGATTTATCATTATTTAAAGTAAATTTGAACCAATAAACAGTAGAGGTGAAGAGGCGGCTACATTTCCTCTTAGTCTTCAGCCAAACATTTTTTCCTATAATCAGCATGAATACAATCACCTCATATACCGCTTATTTATACAAAGTCACAATATTTATGACAGGCCGGGTTCAGTAAAATAGGAAAGTGTTTTATTTTATTTTCAGAGGGGATCCTAACAGAAGATGTGTTTCTGTGGGTACCAATGTGTGCCTAAGGTCTCCAGTAATATACATCTGGGATTAAGCTGAGTGTTTCCTGTGGGTTTTTATAGACACTAAGTAATATTAGACCATCCTCTCACTTTTTGAAAGAATCTGCTACAGAAGCATAGGTAAAGGAACTCTGCTGCTACCAAGTCAAGCTAGTAGACACCTGTTTGAGGACTATGTACAGTACTACCGCTGGGCTGCTAGGGTTATCTGGAGACTTTGCCTACGAGAGGAATCTTTGATGTTGTAAAGGAGCACTCTTGAGCAACGTCTGTCTTACCACATATGTAGAATTAACTGTAATATTCCACCTTTGCACAATCACATAATCCAATAAGGGCTGCTAACTTGACTTTTATTTTCCCTATTAAAGGGACCACTTATATTATTGCTATTCTACAGTGTGTTCCATATCTACAGTATCTCACAGAAGTGAGTACACCCCTCACATTTTTGTAAATATTTTATTATATCATTTCATGTGACAACACAGAAGAAATTACACTTTGCTACAATGTAAAGCAGTGAGTGTACAGCTTGTATATCAGTGTACATTTGCTGTCCCCTCAAAATAACTCATCACACAGCCATTAATGTCTAAACCGATGGCAACAAAAGTGAGTACTCCCCTAAGTGAACATGTCCAAATTGGGCCCAAAGTGTCAAAATTTTGTGTGGCAACCATTATTTTCCAGCACTGCCTTAACCCTCTTGGGCATGGAGTTCACCAGAGCTTCACAGGTTGCCACTGGAGTCCTCTTCCACTCCTCCATGACGACATCACGGAGCTGGTGGATGTTAGAGACCTTGCGCTCCTCCACCTTCCGTTTGAGGATGCCCCACAGATGCTCAATAGGGTTTGGGTCTGGAGACATGCTTGGCCTGGCCAGTCCATCACCTTTACCCTCAGCTTCTTTAGCAAGGCAGTGATTGCCTTGGAGGTGTGTTTTGGGTCGTTATCATGTTGGAATACTGCCCTGCGGCCCAGTCTCCGAAGGGGGGGGGGTCATGCTCTGCTTCAGTATGTCACAGTACATGTTGGCATTCATGGGCCCCTCAATGAACTGTATTTCCCCAGTGTCGGCAGCACTCATGCAGCCCTAGACCATGACACCCCCACCACCATGCTTGACTGTAGGCAAGACACACTTGTCTTTGTACTCCTCACATGGTTGCTGCCACACAGGCTTGACACCATCTGAACCAAATAAGTTTATCTTGGTCTCATCAGACTACAGGACATGGTTCCAGTAATCCATGTCCTTAGTCTGCTTCTCTTCAGCAAACTGTTTGCGGGCTCTCTTGTGCATCATCTTTAGAAGAGGCTTCCTTCTGGGACGACAGCCATGCAGACCAATTTGATGCAGTGTGCGGCGTATGGTCTGAGCACTGACAGGCTGACCCCCCACCCCTTCAACCTCTGCAGCAATGCTGGCAGCACTCATATATCTATTTCCCAAAGACAACCTCTGGATATGACGCTGAGCACGTGCACTCAATTTCTTTGGTCGACCATGGCGAGGCCTGCTCTGAGTGGAACCTGCCCTGTTAAACCACTGTATGGCCTTGGCCACAATGCTGCAGCTCAGTTTCAGGGTCTTGGCAATCTTCTTATAGCCTAGGCCATCTTTATGTAGAGCAACAATTCTTTTTTTCAGATCCTCAGAGAGTTCTTTGCCATGAGGTGACATGTTGAACTTTCAGTGACCAGTATGAGAAAGTGAGAGCGATAACATCAAATTTAACACACCTGCTCCCCATTCACACCTGAGACCTTGTAACACTAACGAGTCACATGACACCGGGGAGGTAAAATGGCTAATTGGGCCCAATTTGGAAATTTTCACTTAGGGGTGTACTCACTTTTGTTGCCAGCGGTTTAGACATTAATGGCTGTGTGATGAGTTATTTTGAGGGGACAGCAAATGTACACTGATATACAAGCTGTAAACTCACTACTTTACATTGTAGCAAAGTGTCATTTCTTCTGTGTCGTCACATGAAATGATATAATAAAATATTTACAACAATGTGAGGAGTGTACTCACTTCTGTGAGATACTGTGTATGTCCTGTACAAAAAGCATTATTTGATGAGATGTATTATCCCATTTCCTGACTATACACAAATAAATGCTTGCATGTCAACAATACATGGAGACTTGACTGTTTTCTAGCCACAGAGTATTACCTGTGTATTTAAGAAGTATAGTATGTGTTTGAATATAGTTTATTAGTATGAAAGTTATTATTTTTTAGAAAATACATTTGTGGTTTGTAATATTGATTGTTTCCTCTCATAGGAAAGAACTGTAATGAGTGTCTTGTTGGTTTATATGGAAATATAGAAGAAGGAGAAAAATGTTTACCATGTCAGTGCAATAACAATATAGATATAACAGATCCTGAAGCATGTGATAAAATCACAGGAGAATGTTTAAAGTGTTTACATAACACAGATGGAGGTCACTGTGATCGCTGCCTTCCTGGATACTATGGATTTCCAAACTGTAGACCTTGCCAGTGTAATGGGAATTCAGAGTCATGTGATCCGGTAACTGGGGCCTGCAAGACCTGCAAGGGATTTGCAACTGGCACCAACTGTGAACGGTATGGATGGAACCTAGAAATTATATTTAAGCTTGACTTTATCATTAACAGAGTCTTTTGCAAGTGCATTGAAGAGTAGATTGTTTTCTTATTTTCTATTAAAATAAAGTGCTGCATAAATTGTCAGCACTATATAAATGCCTGTAATAAAATAAAATAAAATAAGATGGCATTAGGAGATCCTGAACAGAAAGTAATAAAATATATAGAGAACTCTGTAAGAACTAACATTCCTGTTTTTTTGTAGTTGGTATTTTCTAGAAATTTGTGGGTTTCTTAAATGGCAGAGATTAGATCCGTAAAGGGAACATTTATAAGATTCATTCTTCTTGTCATATTTAACCTATATTGACTTGCTTTAAATCTTGGCTCTGCAGGTGTCTTGATAATTACTTTGGGAATCCACTAAAAGGACAGCCATGCCGCCCATGTATGTGTCCAGGTTCTCCTACAGGCAACCAATATTTTGCAGATTCCTGTGAACAAAACCCTGATACTCAAGAGGTGACCTGCAACTGTCTAGAAGGTTACACAGGTATAAAACCAATACTTCTCTTTGTAGTCTTCGGCCACACATTTTTTTCCCATCATCAGCAGAAATGCAGTCACCTCATATAGGCTTATTTACGCAATGTCACAATACTTTAAGCCAGGTTTTGCTGAGTGAAACAGAAATTTGTATTTAAAAGAGGGGATCCTACCAAAGATGTGTTTCTTTGGGCACCAATGTGTACCTAGGGGCTCTAGTGATGGAAAGGACCTAAGAGGGATTAAGCCGAGTACTTCCTGGAGTTTTTACAGACCCTGAGTAAACTCTCCTTCAGCAAGATAATCTGCCACAGACGCATGGGTAAATGAATCCTTCTGCTACCAAGTTAAATATGAGTTCTAGGTATGGATGCACTGATACCAGCTTTCGGGTATTGAGTACGAGTACTGATATTTTCTTCTACCGGCATCACGAGGTAGCGTGGGCCTGGCTTCCTGGGTGGCCCTGCTTCCTGGATGCCTGGAAAGCTGGTGTTCTATCGAAAGCACAACGGCTTCATGCTCACTCGCAACGCTGTGAGGCAGCCTGGCTTCCTGACCAATCAGGAAGCCGGGCAGCGAGTCATTACCTACTGCCCGGCTTCCTGATTGGTCAGGAAGCCAAGCTGCCTTGCAGTGTTGCTAGGCAGTATGAAGCTGGCTTCCTAGCCAATCTGGAAGCAGGCAGTGTGTCAAGACTGCCTGGCCTGGGTCAAGACTGGCTTCATGTTCCCTTGTGGCACTGCTGGTCAGAGGGAATCTCCCTCTGACCAGCAGTTCCAGTATCAGGGTAAGTATCGGAATATTTGGGTGAGTACAAGTACTCGCCCAAATGCTCAGTATCAGCACCGATACCAATACCAGTATCAGTATCGGTGCATCCCTGGTTCCAGGCATTTTCTATTTTTAAACATAAATTGGTCCAGCTTGGTTACATCTAATTCTTCAAAATCTTGAGGGACACTGAAATGCAGAAATTCACTGTAGTAGTCTGTGCTACATACAGTCAGTGCCGGTCTCCTCCGGGTGCTGCTCAACTGACTTGCGGTCCGTATTCAGTATACTGAAGGCAAGTCACTCGAGCAGCACCTGGAAGAGATCAGTGCTGACTACTACAGTGAATTCCTACATCCCCAAAGGCCCTCCAGATTTTCAGCACACAAATTAATGCCTGCATGTTGGCTACACATGGAGACTTGACTAGCTTTACCTTACGCTTTTGTAGCCATATACTCAGCATTACCTCTGTAGTAATAGAATAAAGTATGTGTTTGAATATAGTTTATTAGTATGAAAGTTATTATTGTGAAAATATATATTGGCAGTTTGTAATATTGTTTCCTCTTATAGGAAAGAACTGTAATGAATGTCTTGTTGGTTTATATGGAAATATAGAAGAAGGAGAAAAATGTTTACCATGTCAGTGCAATAACAATATAGATATAACAGATCCTGAAGCATGTGATAAAGTCACAGGGGAATGTTTAAAGTGTTTATATAACACACATGGAGGTCACTGTGATCGCTGCCTTCCTGGATACTATGGATTTCCAAACTGTAGACCATGCCAGTGTAATGGAAGATCAGAGTCATGTGAACCAGTAACTGGGGCCTGCAAGACCTGCAAGGAATTTGCAACTGGCACCAACTGTGAACGGTATGGAACCTAGAAATTATATGTATACTTTATAACACTTTATGTTTGTATATATATATATTGTATATTGTATATTGTATATATATATATCCTGGAAAAAGCTTGGTTTTATCATCAACAGAGTATTTTGCAAGTGCTTTGAAGAGTGCATTGTTTTCTTATTTTTTATTAAAATAAAGTGCTGCATAAATTGTCAGCACTATATAAATACATTTAGCGCGGTGTCATTATTCACCTATTATCACTTTATTAGTACTGCAGCTTGCTCACTTTAGGAATGTATTTATTGTTGGTTCTACTACTAGCGCGGTGTACCACCTTTATCCATTTACTATATAAATACCTGTAATAAAATAAAATGAGATGGCATTAGGAGATCCTGAATAGAAAGTAAATAAAATATATAGATAACTCTGTAAGAACTAACTTGGTTCTTGTAGTTGGTATCTTCTATAAATGTGTGGGTTTTTCAAATGGCAGAGATTAGATCCGTAAAGGGAACATTTAGAAAATGAATTCTTCTTGTCATGTTTAACCTATATTGACTTGCTTTAAATCTTGGCTCTGCAGGTGTCTTGATAATTACTTTGGGAATCCACTAAAAGGACAGCCATGCCGCCCATGTATGTGTCCAGGTTCTCCTACAGGCAACCAATATTTTGCAGATTCCTGTGAACAAAACCCTGATACTCAAGAGGTGACCTGCAACTGTCTAGAAGGTTACACAGGTATAAAACCAATACTTCTCTTTGTAGTCTTCGGCCACACATTTTTTTCCCATCATCAGCAGAAATGCAGTTACCTCATGTAGGCTTATTTACACAATGTCATAATACTTTAAGCCAGGTTTTGCTGAGTGAAACAGAAATTTGTATTTAAAAGAGGGGATCCTACTAAATATGTGTTTCTTTGGGCACCTATGTGTACCTAGGGGCTTTAGTGATGGAAATCTGGACCTAAGAGGGGTTAAGCCAAGTACTTCCTGGAGTTCCAATTAGGGATGCACTGATACCACTTTTACTGAATTGAGTATGAGTACCGATACTTTTGTCTACCTGCATCCCGAGGTAGTGTGGGCCCGGCATCCTGGGTGGCCCGGCTTCCTGGATGCCTGGGAAGCTGGTGTTCTATCAAAAGCAGAACGGCTTGGCACTCCCTCGCAATGCTGCGAGGCAGCCTGGCTTCCTGACCAATCAGAAAGACGGGCGGCGGGTCATGACCTACCACCCGGCTTCCTGATTGGCAGTTCCAGTATCGGTGTAGTTATCGGAGCATTTGGGTGAGTACTCAGTATCGGCACCGATACCAATACCAGTATCAGTATCGGTGCATCACTAATTCCAGGCATTATCTCTTTTTAAACATAAATTTGTCCAGCTTAGTCACCTCTAATTCTTCATATCTCACATCTAGAGGGACACTGGAAATGCAGAAATTCACTGTAGTAGTCTGTGCTACATACAGTCAGTGCCGGTCTCCTCCGGGTGCTGCTCAACTGACTTGCTGTCCGTGTTCAGTATACTGGAGGCAAGTTACTCAAGCAGCACCTGGAAGATATCAGCACTGACTACTACAGTGAATTCCTACATCTTCAGAGGCCCTCCAGATTTTCAGCTGCACAAAAATTAATGCCTGCATGTTGGCTACACATGGATACTTGACTAGCTTTACCTTACATTTTTGTAGCCATATACTCAGCATTACCTCTGTAGTAATAGAATAAAGTATGTGTTTGAATATAGTTTATTAGTATGAAAGTTATTATTGTGAAAATATATATTGGTGGTCTGTAATATTGATTGTTTCCTCTCATAGGAAAGAACTGTAATGAGTGTCCTGTTGGTTTTTATGGAAATATAGAAGAAGGAGAAAAATGTTTACCATGTCAATGCAATAACAATATAGATATAACAGATCCTGAAGCATGTGACAAAATCACAGGGGAGTGTTTAAAGTGTTTGAGAAACACATCCGGACCTAACTGCGCATCCTGTCTACCAGGCTACTTTGGTACTGGACATCATCAGAATTGTACAAGTAAGCAAGTACTAAAGTTGTCTGCTAGTGAATTTATACCCCTATCTTAAATGAACCATATCTGAAACAATTTTATTCAATTAGTCCTGGCTGGCTTGTTTATTATGTAGAAATGTGTGACACAAGACATGAGATTAAATACAAAGTGTATCCTGTACTGACTCAACAGTTTTCTTTAAGATCCAGGACAATCCCATATTACACAGGACAGATGGCAATACAGTGGCACAGGGCTTCTATACTTATTACAGAATTCAGCCCTAATGTTTCTCTAAAAGGATGGATTTTGGTCCACTCTTCTTTACAGATCTTCTCTAAATCTTTAAGGTTTCTTGGCTGTCGCTTGGCAACTCAACGTTTCAGCTCCCTCCATAAATGTTCTGAAGGATTAAGGTCTGGAGGCCACTCCATGACCTTAATGTGCTTCTTCTTGAGCCACTGCTTTGTTGCCTTGGTATGTTTTGGGCCATTGTCATGCTGAAAGACCCATCCATGAGCCATCTTCAGTGTTCTGGCTGAGGGAAGGAGATTCTCATCCAAGATTTTACAATACATGGCCCCATCCCTTGGCACCTCAATGCGGCAAAGTCGGCCTGTACCTTCAGCAGAGAAACATCCCCAAAGCATAATGTTTCCACCTCCATGCTTGACTGTAGGGATGGTGTTCTTAGGGTCATAGTCAGCATTTTTCCTTCTCCAAACACGGTGAATCGAGTTAATGCCAAAGAGCTCAATTTTGTATCATCTGACCACAGCACTTTTTCCCAATCCTTCTCTGAATCATTTAGATGTTCATTGGCAAATTTCAGACAGGTCTGCACATGTGCCTTCTTGAGGAGGGGACCTTGCGGGCGCTGCAGGTTCTCAATCCATGGTGGTGTATTGTTTTACCAATGGTTTCTTTGGTGACTGTGGTCCCAACTGCCTTGAGATCATTCACAAGCTCCTCCCGTGTAGTTCTGAGCTGACGCCTCACTGTTCTCATGATCATCCTTACCCCATGAGGCAAAACCTTGCATGGAGCTCCAGACCGAGGGCGATTGATGGTTATTTTGTATTCCTTCCATTTGTGAATAATTGCTCCAACAGTTGTTTCCTTCTCACCAAGCTACTTGCTGATAGTCTTGTAGACCATTCCAGCCTTGTGCAGGTCTTCAATCTTATCCCTAACGTCCTTTGACAGCTCTTTGGTCTTGCCCATGGTGGTGGGGTTTGAATGGAAGAAAGAGATTATGTGGACAGGTGTCTTTTATATACATAATGAGTTGTCATTAGGAGCACCTTCTTAAAGTGACAGGACTAATCTGTGTAACACATAGCCTGTCTGTGGGAGCCAGAATTATTGTTGGTTGGTAGGGGATCAAATAATTATTTTACTCACTGAACTGCAACTCAATTTATAACATTTGTATCATGTGTTTTTTCTGGACTTTTGGTTGATATCCTGCCTCTATCATTTAAATGATAAAAGTTATAGACCTTCCATTTCTTTGTAAGTGGGCAAACTTACAAAACTTACAAAATCTGCAGGGGATCAAGTCATTATTTTCTTCACTGTATGTCTGTTTAATATATTAATTTGTATATAACAGCAGTTGCAAAAGCCACATTCCTGACATACTATTGCTGATAACCTTTGTGAGTACTGCTGCCACTGTTCATACAGTGTGTCAACGCCAGCTTTGTACATGCCAATATAAGTGCCAAGTTCCTAGGTTTAAAATATGTAGATGAAAATACCTGGCTTTACAGGGAAATGTGTTACCAAGGATTTACAGCCACTTAGACATTTGTGCATCTTGTGCCTCCAAGCAATCTCCTAGCGGGCATTTAATTCATAGGTCATAAGAAGTAATAGAATAATCAAAGCCCATAACACCACAGACCAAAAGTACTCCATATCCCAATCCTATATGGCCTGATTCTTCCCAACTGTCACAGGAGATGCTTGGCTTGTGCTGGAATCAGGTCGTGTATTTCCACCCTTACACAGGCTTTTGGTATAAAATAATGAATCAAAATATAATTCACAGGAAAAGCAACCCATACACTGCACACAAAAACTAACATTGGGGATATAAACACTCTGTTATTGCCCAATCTGCAAGTTTTTGTTCATGTACCAGTGGTACATGAGCAAACACTATTCAAAACTTGCTACTAATAAACATTAAGAAACATCACCATTGCTAAAAACTCACAATGACGATGTTGATTTAATTTGTAGAGTGGCTCAGGACTCATTCTGTCCATTAAGTCAGCAAAATGTATTTACTTCAACAGCATGTAAAACAAGAAATATGGATGATATACTGAACCAATATTATGCAGCAACCATCTCAATTTAGAATTTAAATGGTGGTATGTTACATTTGAGGTGAAGTACATTATATAACCAGAGGACTCACATATAGGGATAATGGTAGCCTTTTTTTGTATATTAACCATGTTTTGTTTTAAATAGAGTGGGGAAGGATTAGAACCCCTGCTGGTTAATACTGCAAGCTGGGGCCATGTTACAGGGGTTTCCCTTACTTGAACGGCTGGCAACCACCATACAGAAAGTGAGGGAAAATCTGCAACAGCGATACAGACAGCAATACAAATCCGACAGGTGTACTAGCCTTCCTGTATTTTACTGCTTTTTACTTCTGCCTGCACTTCTGTTCCTGAGTACTACTATCTACCTGTCTAGTGAAACCATTGTCAGAGATATTTCCTCTCATGTCCAGAAGAAAAAAAAAACTATTGTAGAAAAACATTTGGCTGCACCTACACTCACTGAGTGAATGTATACTTGAATTTATATTTGACACTCATTTACATTTTACAAACACACATAAAGGAGATCTAAAGCCTCAGCATACACTTTCATTTTATAACATTGACATTGTAATACCAATACAAACGATTACTCTATCCAAAATATAAAAATAGGTTTGGGTTTAGATATACTTTAAGAAAAAATGAACATTTGTATTCTGCTTATTATTTATTATCTGCTAATACAGGCTTGATGTTGTAATAATTTCTTACTAATAGACACAACTGTTTTTTGGTGAAGGGTGTGTCTGTAACTCCATGGGAACCAAGGATGAGAACTGCTCAATTTATGAGGAGGTTGGGGAATGTGTATGTGACAGAACTACTGGACAGTGCCCTTGTTTGCCCAATGTAATTGGAATTATGTGTGATACATGTGCACCTGGATACTGGGACTATTCCGGTGGAAAAGGATGTCGGCCTTGCAGCTGTTATCTAAGTAATTCCTTAGGGAATCAGTGCAATCAGGTAAATATTTCTGAAATATTACATATTATTATGACATTAATAATTTACAATATAGTGTGAATTAGAGGAGTATAATAATGTAGCAAATAGCAGTAATGTAATAACAGTATTTAAAGGTTAAGTTTGCTTTTAATACCCCCCAACCCAACACTCCCACACACACTTACCTAATTTGCAGTGTTTTTCTCCCTGCATGCTGCTGCTATTTTTTTTAATTCAGATCAGCTGTGCATGACTCCGCCCACAGCTATATCATCCATTAACAGATCCTTTGGAGTCCCGTCACCCACCCGGCAGAGTTCTCAATAGAATACAAATGCGATGACATTACCACACTTGGAGTCCATTCATTCTTCCTCCTGTTCATGTTACTGAATGTTCATGTTGAGGTACAGACAGGGACAGAAGGGAGAATCTGCAGTAGCACCCACAATCTACTGACAGAGATTGCAATTCTTTATTGGCTCCAATGCAAAAACATAATGAATGCACATTTTTTTATTTTATGAAAAAGCATTTTTTTTTCTTTAAAGGGTGGAACCTTTCAAAGGTTTTAACATGATTAAAGGTAAAAAGTGACTGGATAGTATTTGTTACGATATTTCATATATTATCACTGATCATTGCAATTTATGAATAAATAAGCCTGACATAATTCAAATGCGGTTAAAGAGACACTGTTATATTGCCCATGTAATGTCTCTGGAAAGGACATACCCAGAACCCATGTACTTACCTTTTCTGAGGAAGCATTGAAGAAAAAGTTACCAAATCCTCTGTGATGGTATCCAGATTTACCAGCCAAGCACTAAGTCTGAGCACTGTCACATGACTGGGGGAGTAATGTCACCTCTCCCCATCAGCTGCAGAGTAGCTGCGAGGGAGCGTAGGTAAGGTGTGTATATGGGGATCAGGGGGATGCCCTTTTAGTTCTCACCACTATAAATATATATATATATTTATATATTTTGTTAGTCCAAAAAAAAAGATATCATTGCACACTACAATACTGAATTTTTGTCTTTTTTGACATTATATATATATATATATATATATATATATATAACCACTATACAGTCCTTTAGCAAAGGATGAACAAAAGCAGCCTGGAACTCCATGTGATGGCTAAAAATAAGACTACATGATTCTAATAGTTTATATTTACATAATAAGATGTTATACATTTTAGTTTTATTATTTTTCACTATTATAAATAAATGAATAAATAAATAAATATATTCAAAAACATTATACATTCCATTGAACAAATTAGTTTATTATGAACAGTTGTTTGAGAAAGGTAGCGTAGCATTTGCCCTGCTACAGTATATGCTGGGCATAAGATTCATAAATTATCCCGTTACTGTAAAGAGAAAAGAGAACCCTGGCATTCCTACAGTCTTAGGACTTTCAGAAGGTAGTGCCAGAGGAAGGGATGCCTGAAATTGTATCCAAACTCTTTGTAGACTCTTGGAAAAAGCAGTGACCCAGTCACACAAATATGAAATGAGATTTCAAGGGGCATTGTGTACACTTTATGCAGGGATGACACAAGATTACAATGCTGCTGTTGCTTGCAATTCCATTGTGGGGGGGGTTGCTGGTGCTTGGATATGCTGCCGTATGCATGCGTATGCGGTGGGACAGGTTGTCCCACCCAGCTTACTGACATCATGGGTTGCCAGGACCTCAGCGGGGAACCATCCAGAGCTCCCTGGCATTCAATGACATCAGTTAGCTGGGCAGGAAGCCGGATAGAGATATTCTCCTTTATTATTTGCTCTGTGATTTCACAAATCTAATCTTGGATTGGAAATGAAGGGTCTGTAGTATATTTATAGTCATTGAATTCCATAAACATTAAAGTGTAACTGTGACAAGGCTATGAGCATTCAAATATTTAGATTTTGTTCACAAGCAATAAATAAGCTTTAAAACAAACCTTTATTGTCTTTGAAGCCTCCTTCCCCTTTGCCCCCTTCTGGTGACATCACAGGTCCTCTTCACCCTTTTTTTACTTTCAGCAGTTGGCAGATCCAAAATTCTGCAGAGAGCACTGGCATAGGGTGGTACATGTCTCTGCAGTATTTTCCTGTGAATCTTGGGTGAGGGACGGAGCCTTAACAACCTTGGTTTACAGGAAATGGGTTGAACAATGCTTGGTGTCATTAAACCCGGATGTGGTGCAGGGTTGGATTGGTGACCACATGGGTCTGCTGGGGGTAACATCTGAGATAGAGTGAGTGTAGTCGATGGTACTGCTTTTTTATTTTTAACTTACGCTGACAACTACATTATTGTATTTCTGCCAAATATGGGGTTGGGCTTCTAATCATGGTATGTTAAGTACTTGTGCTAATATCATTACATGTACATTTAACTTATTCAGCTATGTATTTAGCAGTTTGTCTGGTGTTCAGCTTTCCAGTGAATCTGTTGCAAATCAAGAAGCTGAGTGATACGCATGAAATGGAAGATATCATTCTCCTGGACTGTATTTTAGTTCACTGAATAATATGACATGTATACAGTCCAGGAAAAATAGTTTTCTGTTTCATATTTTCACAAACATATTGTGATTCAGATCTATATTCCTTCGTACATGGTTTTGCAGCATGATTAAATGTTATCAGATACATTAACATCTGTGTTGTGAAAGGCCCTGGAGTGTTGGTTTATTTATAGTGTGAGTCTTAACAGTTTACAGGTCAGTGCATATGCAAACCAAAATACAAAGGCAAGAAATGTGACCAATGTCAAGAAAATCACTATGGGAACCCAAAGGTGCAATGCATTCGTAAGTATAATAGAATAATAGAGATAATAGAAATTGTGAGACCAGAAAATATCTGGCATGTCTCTAAATGTGTGCATTACTGTGATGCTTACAGTTAAATGTACAAATAGCCTTATTATTTCTGTAGAATGTACCTATCAATTGTCTCTTGTAATAGCATCAACATACATTTCCTATATAAACAAAAAATACATATACCCCAGACTTTAAATTTGTGTGATAATAAAGCCAAATCAAACTTTCAGTTTGAATCAGCTGAATATATACCAGGTGCATCAAAATAAAATGTTTGTAACATTTTTACGTTTGTTTTCTTTAGAAAGCAGCCACAGCCTGACCAAAGCCAGTCCCCTGCCAGGATGCTACAGAGAAGGACCAATTCTATCTCTGTGGAAGCAGTGACTTTACTGCAGAGGTCAGACATGGCTGTTGCTTAGTCTAGGCTAGAACTCCCCATTAATCAAAGCTCCTGCTACCTGCTGGCTGAAGAGCTCTAACTCAGACTTAGGCAGGGACGTGCAGTCTGCGGAGACAGTAACCTGCCATTATGGAAGAAAAAGCCTGAGGGTCTGATGCTGACAGCATGCATCTAGGTGCCTCATCAGTAATGAGCAAGTGAAGGACATGGAAGTTCCTCCCCGTCTCCTCACTCCCTACTCCTTTCTCCCACACCCCACAGACAGAGCGGTTTCATCTCCTACCTCACAGGCTGTGAGTCACAGTGCTGAGACCGGGGGCAGGCTGGGGGATGTCTCACTTGCCACTGACCTCACCGCATGTCCCTGGACTTAGCTGGGGGTGTGTTAGACCTCTAAAGAGAGACCCCTGCTTCCTCACACAGAGCCCTGGTCCTTCTCTACAGCTTGCTGGTGGGGGACAGACTTTTCTATTCAAACTGTGACGTCTTTCTAAATAACTTGTAAGACATTGCAAACTTTTGATGCTTTTGTAATATAGCAGGTTTAAACTGAGAGTTTAGCTGGGCTTTAAAATTGGTGAATTTGACTGACTTATCAGGGGAATATACAGCAATAATTCTAGAGCACAGCTCTGGGTTCTTCCACTTAAGAAAAAGTATTTTTGTAACTTCTGAATTTTTTAGATTATATACAACTGTGGCCTTATATTAAATGAGTTCTAAAATCTGCATGTGCATGTGCACAATACATAAATAAATAAATAAATAAATAGAATAAGAGCATGCATGTGTATGTGAATATTTTGGCAAACACATCTTTAGCAGCTAGTGATACAATAAATAAAACATACCAGAATAAGGTTACAAAAGCAGCTTAGTAGGGCAGACGACCAATAAAGGAATGAGGTCCAGAATCTCAACAGCTTGCCAACCATTTTGGGTTTGACAAGCCTTGAGCTCAGGCTGCCTTACCCTGTGGTGGGTATTCCTTTTTGGATATGACGGCGTACTCTACTTACACTTTGTATTGCCACTAGGGGAAGAGAGCAGCTTCCCTAACATAATTTCAGCACCCCTCTCTTTTTTTGCCCTTTTTTGTGGTTTGTTACTGATTTGTGCACTTCCTAATCTATTTTGTAGATTTGAAGAATAGCCCTGAATCTCTTTTACATGTTGATACCTTTTTTTAAGTGATAGTATCAAGTATTGCACATGAACATGTACGTTTTATGCATTCTAAAAGTTCTTGTGAGTAGACCTCCTGATATATTATTTTAGTATATCTTATGCCATTATGATTTTGCAGCTTGCAGGTGCAATTTGGAAGGCAGTCAAAAGCCTATGTGTGATAAAGACACTGGTGAATGCAACTGCAAAGTAGGAGTTACTGGAAGATACTGTGACCAATGTGCGCCTAAATTCAAGCAAGAGTTCCCTGCATGCCTTCGATGCCATATGTGCTTTGACCAATATGAACATAATGTATCCTCCCTGGCTGACTCTGTCCATGGCTTGGTTAGATTAGCTGCCAACATTGGCCCCACCAGGTCGCCAATGGCCTGTGATGTTCAGATAAGCATCCTTCAGGATAAACTTTATGCTATCAAGAAAATCTTTAAGAGCCGAATTCTTTCACCTGACAAGTATGCAAAAGTCAAGACCTTCTATGACAATATAAGGTAAACTTTATTGGTAATGGTTTGGCTGTCTCTCCATGTTTAAGTATTTGTGACAATAGAGTGATGATCATTACCCCAAACAGGAAAAATAACTGTGCTGCCTTTAGCAGCCAATCATCATTTTCCTTAACTTTTCCCGTGGCAGGTAAGATATCTAGAACCTGCTGGTTTGCCATGGGCGGCATTAAAAAGGGCATTTAACCGCAAAAACAAAAATGTAATCTATTGAGGCTTTCCAACCCCTAGATGTGATGGATGCATTAGATTTCTTTCAGGCTAAGAACATTTTCATTAAGAACAAAAAAATACCCATTAACCACTTCCAGCGGGTACAAATAAATCAACGTCATTTGCTGGGAGGGTTTCGTTTTAAACAGCAGACGATTGCTGTTTAAATACAAGCAATCCGGCATCTGTACAGGCTCCGGATCGCTTGTATGGTGTGGCGCCGTGTATCTCCCCACCTCCACCGCCGCCAGTGCTTACATAGGTTTTTAGCCCCCGATGTGATAGCAATAAAGTTGAGTGTAATTTTTTTTAAAATTAAAGTAACAGATAAAAAAAGCAATAATTTTTTTAAAAGTCCCCGCACCCACGTGCACGCACATACAACGCAAACATGCATTGGATGCGCTTACGTGCAAAAACAAAAATTGCGCCACACATGTTACATATCGTCGTGAGTGTCAGAGTGAGAGCAATAATTCTAGGCCCATCAATCACTGTTAACGCTAACCTGATGAGCAGTAAAAGCATTTAAAGTGTCGCCTATGGGAAATTTTGGTTATTGTAGTTTTTTGCAGTTTCATGGACGCATGGATGGTTCTGTTACCCATTTTTTACACCCATCTCCATATGTTGAATAGAACCGTTCAGGGTCAGAGCCTCTGTTAAGTAATTTTTTACCTTCACCTTTTTTTCTACTATCTTTTTTCACTTCTTGTGTGGTCACCCACAATGAAACTGAACTAATGTCTCCAAAAACGATACAAACAGTATCTAAGAATCTAAGTCAGTTTTTGTATTATGGTCAATGTCCCGGTTGAGTAGAATTTACTCACTTCCTATATTGTCACTGAGACACAATGCAATCGGAAGCCTCCCCAATGGCATTGGCAACACAGACGGATTTTCTTTTTTTTTAAATGACAAGGTAAATGCAAAGGACAAGGAAAAATATATATATACACATATATATGTATGTGTATATATATATATATATATATATATTGTTTTAACTGATTGTATGACTTTTTATTACAGGCAGAAAGTAAATAAAATCAAAATATTAGATTTAGGAAAATTCAGTGAGATACCAAAGCTGAATAAAACAATATGGGATATGGAGAAAGAAATTGATGTTTTATTTAAAGACCTAGACATAATAAGAAAAAAGAAGCAGAGAGAAACAATAGTCAAGGTTAAAGGTAAGAACTGTACTGTACCTGTTGATATATATTTTTTTAACTGATGGAGCCTCTTGTTTCTACCAGTTATCATTTTCCCACCGCAATGTTGACTTATAATTGACCCAACATTATGGTGAAAACTGTAATGTGAATTCATATGTTCACAATCTAGAATAGATCCAACTCAACCACTGTAATGTGTGGTTACATTAGACCCTGGTCCTGGTATACAGCTCCTGTGATATGAGACAGGATTAATGCTTGCATGGCCAGAATTGTATTTCTGTTGAACATATAGTGCACTAAGCTGCTAAGCACTAAAAACAAACCTGCCTGAACATGTTAGAATATGAATGATTTATGAGCTTGTTGAAGAGTTTGCACATGCATCCCAGAAAATGTCTGATATTTACTAAAGATACATTTAAACTGCAATGTATTCTATTCATTTTTTTCAAGTTTACGTGAAATGGTATGTTGATATCCTTATAATTTGTTTTATCGTTTATTTTGTGCTCTGGTTATGCAGTGAAGGCAAGAGGGATTTATATTCTTGTTTCTTTCCTATCAGACATCCAAGCATCTTTTGACAAGATCACCAAACACTATAAAACATCGTTATCTGCAGCAGAGAAGGCACGCAATGCTACCCCTATCACTCGGACTGCATCCAAAACTAGAAAAACTATTCTGACTGCACTTAGCAACTTAGATATAAAAGACAAACATAATTTAGAAAAGTTAAACAAAATGAAATCTCTACAAATAAGTAAAATGAATGAAATGGTAAGAGTTTTATTAAAATAAAGTCATATATTTAAAAAAAAGAATCTGGAAAAGTAACATTTTGATACTTCATAGCACATATTTTTTCTTAAAACGAAAGGGTAGTGTACCCATATAATACCTTCCCTTGTTCCATCCTCCCCACACCCTCCGATCAACATGCAAATACGATTTTTTTAGACCCAGTGATGTTATCACTGAGCCTGTCTGCTGCTCTTTGCTGAGTTTGGTGAAATGGCTCTGCAGGCTCCTGTAAACATCAAAGCATTCTGCCACATCCCTGGGATCCCTTTAGATGTGCCTGCTTTTCTATGCTGGTCACTGGATTCTGCAGAATTTAGCTGTGAGGTCTACTAATTGGTTGACCAGCTGCCCTACGCTCATGCCAAGTGCAGGTCCGTATGGGTGCGGGTGTCCCGGCTCCGACGCAGACAGGATCCATCCTGTCAGTGTACGAGTACGGACACCCGCACGGACATGCAAGGCGGGTGAGCGTAGGGCGGCATATGGCCGCATACTCCCATAGAGAAGTACAGAGACTGCGTACTAATCACACGCAGCACTTGTCCTTCCCGGGAGCTGCCCGATACCCGTAGCTGTATGTGCCGGCTTTTTCTCGTGTGAATGAGGCCCTAATGTAAATCCATAACTATGTTCCAAATAAGCATTTATAAGTACAGTCTTTTTAATGTGGTTTGCCAGCCAGAATCTTTTAGAGTGGAAAGGGTTGGAACATCTGTCCATTTGGCAACATCTCTTCCCGCTTGCTTTCTCAGTAACACCTAGGGTGCTGTGAGCTCATCTTTTCATTTTCTGGAGTGCATATTTCTGTGGATGATCTACTAGGAAGCCAGGGAAACTGTAACCTTTACAAATTCATATATACTTAAATTGGTCCAGCTTGGCACAATGTAAGCATAAAGAAATTATCTGCTCAGTACATTGACATAGTAGTAGCTGCGGCCACTACCTGTAATACACAATCTTCATGGCCCTGCCAGGGATCATTGTATATATACTTACACTGTGCCAAACTGGACCGATTTAAGTATATATCATATTTTAAGCCCAGTGTTCAGCTTAATTGCTGTTTGTGTTCCTGTTGAAGGAATTACAATACACTTGCATAGTTGCATAATGATCCTGCGGGACAATCCTGGGAATTTGGTCCCGCAGAATCCTTGTCCAGCGGGTTGTCAGTAGCATCTGAAGAACAGACATCTCCAGCATTAGACACTATTTCTATCCAGGCCAATTATTGGGGCAGATTACAGTATTTAAATTTTATACACTGTATTCTCCATAGCTGATATCTTTTTGGATATCAAACAGTTTGGCTAGGAATACAGCTTGATGAAGACAGCTTCAGTTACAACAATGTTTACCAGTTCTCATGTATCTCATGATACCAAACATGCCATTAATTCCATGGCTGCAATTCGGGATGATTAAATGGTATTTTCCTCTGCAATGCGGCATGTGTGTGGATCAGAGCGGATACCCAAAGATCTCACATAGAAATGATGCAGAGCTTGACAGCTTAAGCATGCATTTTTACAAGGCAATTGTTGATTTAAAAAAATCACTGTGCAGAGAGCAGGTTACTCTTGGTGCTTATGCATTGTTCTTCATATAACTGGATGTTTAAACATGGTTTTTACCTCCATCAAGACATATAATTCTTGATAGATACCTGCTCAGATATTGGACCAAGATGGCCTTGTACCACATGGTAAATAAGAAATGTAAAGAATTACACATTTGTTTTTAATTTGAGAGTATGTCAAATAAAAACAGGCAGACAGAGATAAGGACATCTTGACCTTCCACTATGTAATTAACTTAGGAACATAGCTCTAATGCCATATTTGTGGGGTTTACCAGTTGTAATTAGCATCCTGCTTTTACCTCCTCTATGCTATAAGGGAGGCAAAGATGGCTGCACACAACTGGATCTTGTGGGACAGACTGAAGCAATGTTTTGTTTATTGATAACACAGAATATTTTGCTCTAAATCTTACTATTAAAAACAGTATTGGGTTAAAATTACTCTGCTGATATTTAATTATCAGAAACCCAATTTTAAAATTTTAAAATATCTAGACATCCGTTTATGATAATTACATCTACATAACATCTTCATACAGGTTTGTGGAACCGTTTGGGACTTTCCTTGTGATATTTCCCCCTGTGGAGGTGCTCTATGCAGAGATAAGTTTGGCAGAAGGAAATGTGGTGGCACCGATTGTAGTGGAGCTTTGCCAGTTGCCAGAGATGGTCTGAAAAAAGCAAATGAAACAGATGCAAAGTTAAAGAGTGTTGCAATTAATCTCCTTGAAGCGGAGAAACAGGTAAATATCAAATTGTTATAGACACCTATGTTAAGGAAGAGATATTCATATATGTGGCTTATGTGAAATTTAAAGTGACACAAAACAAAACTTAGGAGTCAAACCTTAAAAATGCGTTCAAGTAAACTATTAGCACATTAACAAATGTAGCTTGTGTATCACTCAGCTGTAGATCCCAAAATCATCTCTGAATTCATGCTGACACTGTCCTTCTTTGTGATCCATCAGGGGAATGAGCTTAGATTGGTGGCTGCTTTACAACACACACATGGACCATGGGGACAAAAGTAGCCACCCTCCAGAAGGAAGGACAGTGTCAGCATGAATTCAGAGATGATTTGTGGCTCTACAGCTGAGTAATACACAAATAACCTACATTCTTGTAAATAGTTAAGGTACTTGAATGTATTTTTAAAACTTAACTTCTTTAGCGTCACTTAAAGACTAATTAGCTGAATTTTGCCTTTGTTTTTGTTTTTTTTTACTTTGACACTTAAGTTGTGCAGAATAAGTTCATATAGATAGTCTCCTGCTAACGGCCCGCCAAAGAGAGAAACACTGCTGTTTTTTTTTATTATTATCCTGACACAGAGCCATGTCAGAATAGAAAAAAAATATAAAAATTTTGCACATTGGATTGCATTGCTAGATTCCTATTGGCTATTTCAATTTGCAATAGCCAATAGTAAACTAGCATTGTACCCGCCCTCTGCTGCAGCTCAGGTCCATCAGAGGGCGGGTACAATGCTAGTTCATTATTGGCTATTGCAAATTGAAATAGCCAATAGGAATCTAGCATGGTATTCCAATGGGCAAAAATTATTTTTTTCTTCTATTCTGACACGGCTCCGTGTCAGAATAGAAAAAAAAAGAAAAAGCAGTGTTTCTCTCCTGGGCGGCCGGGAGCGGGAGACTCCCAGAGCGCCCGGGAGAGTTTTTTGGTTTTTGTTGACGGCAGGAGAACCACTGGACAATAGAAAACTGTTGGGCGGAGCTAGCTGTCAATGCTAGCTCCGCACAATTGTTTTCTATTTACTTTTTTTTTACTTTTTTTACTATTTTTCTGTTCTGCTAGGTCCCTCTGCTGTTCGGCATCTATAAGAATGATGTTGGATCGGCTGAGTCGAACTCCTTCTGCACTTCGGGTCAGCCGAACATGCTGAGCATGTTCAGCCGACCCGAAGCCATGCGAAGCAAGCCGATGTACTGCTGATTTCAGCCGACATACGGCTGAAATCAGCCGTACCAGGCTGAAGTGAATAGCCGAACAGTGTTCGGCTCAATTCACTTCAGGTCGGTCATTCACTCGGCTGCCTACGGCAGCTTAGTGAATAGACCCCTATGTATCTTAACAATAAACAATAAATGTTCTGCACCAATACTCGGTCTAAAAGCTACCAGGCACTAAGCATACACCCAATAAAAGTGTATTAACAAGGAACTATAATTAACATGTGAGGAGCTGGAGAACAGAGAAACCAAAATGTGTGCAAAAAAATGTAGTTCCCCCTAATATGAATATATCATTATGTGCATAAAAAACTGATGTACAATCCGTGATATGAATCATATGATGTGTCAATACAATTAAGTGTGTAGATGTCTTTTAATAAATTGAGCTGTTTTTGGATGGTATGTGCTATGGTATATGTTCTATCTTCCTGGGTATTGTGAACCTGGTGACAACATCACACATTGAACAAGCTCATACACTGAGAAAGATTGGAGTCGGAGGTTTCTTTTTTTTTTTAGCATGTTAATTTTTATTGAAAGAATATAAAGAAACAATACAGAGAAAATGTAAAGTTACATAAATCATGGATCAAGTATCAGTACCAGACTGCGATCCAAAAAAGTAATACAATTGCATGTGAACAATACTAAAGGTAACCCAGATCAACATCTGATAGAACACTTCAGAGTGAATCCGTATTGTAGGCATCCCAGCTGAAATAGCTACCATTAGTGACCCTTAGTGCCGTGAGGGTCAGGACTCTGAGTAGGGGGACCGTATCTCGATAACGTGGGAGCTCGTGGGTATAACAGTAGGGCCTAGGCTATGTACGTACTTTATGCAGAGACTGCGTGGAATGAGTCTGGGAGTGTCAGGGATTGAGGACATCCAGTGGACTCAGGGAGCCAGTCAGTTGGGCCTCTAGATACCAAGTAGAAAAGCGAAAGATGGACATCAAATCCTGCAGCTGCTGCAGTGAATAATCCGCCACAACATACGACGTCCACATATCGAAGAAGGTTTCAGTGCGTGCTTGGTTAAATTTTGTATCTAGTTTGTCTAACAGTAACAGTCGGTTGAGCAGGGGGTGAAAGGTGACCATAGAAGGGGGTTCAGGTACTATCCAGTTGCACAAAATCGCTTTTTTGCTGTCAGGAGACAAAGGTGCTCCCAGCGGGTCGGGTGAGAGGGATCAGCCCTTGCGCCTAAGGGTGGGGTGTGTAGTAGGCAGAAGGCAGGGGACAGCATTCTCGTCTTGCAGGAATGGGAGTTCATGAAGTTTAATATTGTGGACCAAAAGGTTTGGATGTGCGGGCATGACCAGAGTAGATGTGGGAGGTCAGGTAGGGGGAGAAGACATTTCGGGCAGACCGTTAACCATTTGGAGAGGGAGTTCTTAGCCGGAATATTAAAGGCATGATATGCTCTATGGACAGTTTTAAAGTATATCTCACGCCAGGCTTTGTTAATAACAGCTTTCCTGATCTGTCGCCAACCTTGTGTCACCATGGAGTGCGTGTCCTCTGTGGACATATTCAGATATTCCGCCCAACGCCTAATATGAGATGGGACAGATGAGGAGGATTCAAGAATAGAAGTCACTATCTGGCGGGCGATAAGGGACAAAGGCATCTTGACCTGTGGAGATGAGAGCAAGGGGTCAAGCGGTGGGCTAATAATTTCTCGCCAAGGCAGAGAAAGATGGCTGGATATAAAATAGCCATAGTGTGTGATGTGGGCAAGGATGTTTGAGATTTGGGTCAGTGGGTCAGAAAGGAGCAAGAGGATATCATCCGCAAATAGTGCTAGTTTAGTGTCGTATGGGCCAGATTGATAGCCAGTAAAGATATGGGGGGTAGCCAAGGATCGGGACAGGGGTTCTATAACCAGATTAAATAATAAAGGGGAAAGAGGACAGCCCTGGCGGGTTCCTTTGTACAGGCGGAAGGATGCGGAAAGGGCCGAGGAGGTATATATCTGCGCTGAGGGGCCGCTATACATGGTTGATACGTATTTCAAAAACAGCCCCGTGAATCCAAAGCGCTCCATAACCTTCGAGAGCCATAACCAATTAATGTTGTCAAAGGCTTTCTCCGCGTCCAAGGCCAAAAGTGCCATTGGACTAGGAGAGGACCCCGACAACCTTATACCCTCCAGTGCAGTAAGTATTTTTCTCACATTCAGTACAGCTGAACGACCAGACACAAAACCCGCCTGGTCTGTTGATACAAGTTTGGAGTCGGGGGTTTCTTCCCCTATCTTGTCTTGAATTGTATTGTGATTGTAATGTCTTCCTCATATTGTAAAGCTCTGCACAAACTTTTGGCGCTATATAAATCCTGTATAATAATAATAACTAAAGAAGTGATTTGCGGGGTCGCCTGTCTGTTTGGGTCAAAAACGTCAGGGTATCTGCATAATTAGAGAGATCGAAGCCGAGAGTCCCCTCCCCTGGTTAAGAAGAGAACTGCCTGGTTTTTCCCTTTTATTTGGGTCAAAACGACAAGGTGAGCACCCCTCTATGTGGTGTGGAGGTGAATTGGTGAAGGAAGAAGTGAATTGTTATCACCTTATTTGATCATACATGGACTTATTTCACAATTTTGAACTTTTATAGATTCATTATTTATCTTGATCCATGAATTGAGTGATCTATTGGCACATCATACAATTCATATCATGGATTATACATCAGTTTTTTATGCACATAATGATATTATATTCATATAAGGAGGAACTACATTTTTTGCACATATGTTAGTTTCTCTGTTCTCCAGCTCAACACATTTTATTTATAGACCATGTATCTACTTTGGCTTGGATGTCTGTAAATATTGATTAAATTTTTATAAGGTTTACCATTTTTAGACATGCAATCAAACACCATGTACATTTACTCTACATTATTTGGAATTGGCTGTTCACATGTCCCCACTTTCATTTTACTGTTACTTTATTTAACATTTTCCAGTGTGCAGGAGGATGAAGAAAAATGCATATGCATTTTGCATATATATTATTATATTATATACATTAAACATTTTTATGTATAATCAGTGTTTATTAATTTTCATAAGTATATAAAGAAAGATAGCAAGCATGAAATAGGTGAAAATGGCATGGCATAGCACGAAGAAGAAATAGGTATTCCTATTAGTATTCCTATAGTATTCCTATAATGCCCGTTGGCATTTAAAACTGTCACATCATAGTCTGCACCTCTAATAAAGAAATACTGTTTACATTTTTGGTATACAATGTTCTTACTTCTTATATTTATAAATGTCTTTTATGATAGTGGTTAACATAGAAGATATGACATTGCCAAAACTAACTTCTCTCAAAGTGATTACTACAAGTGTTGGGTAGGGATGCACCGATAGCGATGCTAGCATCGGTATCGGTGGCAATACCGAGTACTTGTACTCGCCCAAATGCTCCGATACCTTCCCCGATACCGAAATGTCCGGTCAGAGGAAGATTTCCTCCGGCCGGCAGTGCGGTAGCGGTACATGGAGCCAGCTTCCCATGCGATCAGGAAGCTGGGCAGTAAGTAATGACCCTCCCAGATTCCTGATTGGCCAGGAAGCTGGCTCGATGCCATTTGGCCGTGAAGCCGGCTTCCCAGCCAATCAGCATCGTGACGGCCGAACAGCTGGCTTGATGCTGATTGGCTGGGATCGGCATTGAGACGGCTTCCCGGCCAATCAGGAAGCTGCGAGGCGGGTCATTACTTGCTGCCCGGCTTCCTGATTGGCCGTGAAGC